AAAAAATTCGGAATAGGTTCCATCACCTCAGAATGCTGAGGTAATAGAACCTAGGGGGCAGTTGTGGGGACATATTTTTTGAATACCAACACGTGGCATGGTGACGCCGACGTGTCAGCCGAGGTGCCACGTGCCCTGGTAGTTAAGCCGAGGTAATCTCGGAGAAGCCGAGGTCATCTCCGAAGATATCGCAAATTCTTCATCGCCGCCACCGACTACTTCACAAAGTGGGTTGAGGCTGAGCCACTGGCGACCATAAAGGAAAAGGATGTGAAGAAGTTTATTTGGCAAAATGTTATCACTCGCTTCGGTATACCCAAGGCCCTCATCTCAGATAATGGCACTCGCGCGTTACGGTTCGAACAGTCGAACACCTATACGGATTTTCCTGCACAGTGGCAGATATGTAATCAACCCAGTCGGACTTACGGATGATTTTCATGAGAATTGCAAGATTTAATGTATAAAAATATAGAGAGAATTGTATTATTGATAGATTGTATTGAATTGTATTACAATGATTCATGATTCCTATATATAGAAGATGGTGAGTGTGTAGTAGGTAAGGAGTAGGTGAAGTGGAGGTGGTAGTGGTGTAGTGGTGGAGTAGGTGAAGTGGAGGTGGTAGTGGTGTAGTGGGTTAGGTTTAGTGGAGTAGGTGAGGTGGTAGTGGTGGTAGGTGATGGTAAATTCTAACACTTACATATTATATATTACCACTATCTACCACTATCATATTCTATACATGCCACCAACACCGCTATCATATTATATACATGCCACCAACACCACTATCATATGCCACTATCTTATTATCTACCACTATCATATTCTATAAATGACACCAACACCACTATCATATTATATACATTAACACAAATTTCCAGCAGTAAGGACATCGGCTGAAGAGTGGTTGGCTGGATTAAACCAAACTCTTTGAACTCTTCAGCCGAAGTAAGGGTATGGCTGAAGGGTGGTTGGCTGGATTAAACCACTCTTTGTACTCTTCAACCGAAGTAAGGGTATGGCTGAAGGGTGGTTGGCTGGATTAAACCAACTCTTTGTACTCTTCAGCCGAAGTAAGGGTATGGCTGAAGGGTGGTTGGCTGGATTAAACCAACTCTTTGTACTCTTCAGCCGAAGTAAGGGTATGGCTAAAGAGTGGTTGGCTGGATTACACCAACTCTTTGTACTCTTCAACCGAAGTAAGGGTATGGCTGAAGAGTGGTTGGCTGGCTTTTAAACTCTTTGTACTCCTCAGCCGAAGTAATTATGTCGGCTAAAGAGTGGTTGGCTAGTGAGCATAGTTAGATTGACCAGCTAAAACCGAGATAACAGTTGGAAGTAAAAAGATCATGGAAAAATCATTCCAAGTACAAACATACAGATCAACCGAAATAAGAGTTCAAGAAAATTTTCATTCATCAAAAAAGAAAATACAAATGAGGGGCCATAGCCCGGTTACAAGAGCAAAAAGTAACAAAGAAAAAAAGTACAAAATCAAGTGAAAAGGTCTTCAATTTCGACGTCAATATCAACTTGAACACCGGTTGCAGATGGAAGATCAGTCTCAGCAGCAACTGGCAGAACGATATCAGTCGATGGCTCAACAGTCAGGTCTTCAACCGTTGCCTCCAACCGAGCTGATTGATCGTTGACTTGCTCGTTGACTACCGGAGTAACAGTTTGTTCGTTTTCATCGTCTTCATCATCTGAATCCTGCAAGAATTGTTCTTGGACCGAAGCAGCATATTCCGCTAGCGACCATTCTCGAACTGTAGCTCGGCTATCTGCTTCTTGGCATGCTCAAGCTCGGCTGTCTTTGCCTCGGCATCTGCCATGGTATGCCTGGTTGCCTTGCGGAGCTCCAGCACTTTCTTATGTGCAATGTTGTTCTTCTGAATGGCCTGCAAAAGAGTAGTGACTCTCTTTAGCCGGACTGACAGTTAGGAAAAGTTAGACGAAGAAAAGGGAGAGCCACTTACCAGGATCATTGATTTTGTTGATGACCGGATGGCCTTCAGTTCAGTGTTTAGCTGTTTATTATGGTGCTCCATGTCTTTTGGAAGGCAAACACTCTTGGCTAGATTGAAAGCCATCAAGTGATCCTTCTCAGCAACAACCGAGTCAGTTTCCTGAATATCTCGGTTTTGAAAGGTAAGACTTGGAACCCATTTGGAGGAGTCAGCTCGGTCAGAAGACTCCGGCTGTGGGATTGGTGGAGGGATGGCTTCGTCCTCATCCACAAGTTGTTGTTCGGTCGGTGTAGATCGGGGGCGCTTAGAGGGGCGTGATGATGAAGGCTGTTGAGAAGGGAGGGCCACAACGGCAGGCTGCGTTTGACTTGGTGGGGGTACTTCGAGTCTGTTAGTTTCGGTTAGAAGCGCCCTTACTCTGTTCCTTTTAGCCATTTCCTTTCTAGCAGTTAGTGGGATTAGTCTGATTTCTGGCAAGGTTGGGTCCGGTTGTGGGGCCTCCTCTAGCAGAAAGTCGGTCACTCTCGCTTTTCGGCGGCCGCTGTATCTGTAGGTCGGCTCGAATTTTAGTAGCTTAGCCCAACTATGTTTTGGATACCGTAGTGCGGCGCGCAAAGTCGCTAGATTTGGATAGCTATATAAAGAATGGAGGTGGGCAGGATCTGCGAAAGAAGACAATTGTTAGTTCGGCTGAAAGATTGAAAAACCGAAATATAATAAAGCACGCATGAAAACCGAAGTAAATATACCGGGTTCTCCTTTTTTCCAGTTTATACGTCGGCCAGAAATCTGGACTTGATGATCCTCAAAGTTCCCAGACACCCAGAAAAAATCGTCATCGTTTAAGTCTTTATTCGGTGTATTTTTTATTATCTTCTCTTGGCGACGGCGTATTCTTAAATAGTAGACCCGCCCATCTTCTTTTGAACCAATGGAGTATTGGTGAAAAATTTCGGCCAGACCAAAATCGTCATCGTTTAAGTCTTTATTCGGTGTATTTTTTATTATCTTCTCTTGGCGACGGCGTATTCTTAAATAGTAAACCCGCCCATCTTCTTTTGAACCAATGGAGTATTGGTGAAAATTTTCGGCCAGACCAAGGTTGAGACCGGCTTGCCGGTTTAGTTCGGCTATTTCCATTATTATGCGGTATGAATTGGTGAATAGTTGGGTTGGGCATAGTCTAGTTTGCCTAAGAAACTCGCAAATTAAAGGTTGGACTGGAAATCGTAGTCCGGTTTCAATTATGGATAAGAGGGTGAAGGGGACAAAGCCTTCATTGCCGCAAGGAATGACATCTTTTTCGGCTAAAATCAGGTGAACGTCATCGGGTATATTGTAGTCTTTTCTGAATTCGGCTAGGCCGCCCGGAGTGTCTACTAGATACCTATACTTCCCCATTTATTGTATAAGTTATTAATAAATTAGTTCGGTCGGAAGAATGTGCTCAGTAGCTCGGTTGAGCGCGCAGAAGAGTGCCTGGGCAACCTAAGTCTGCAAAGTAGAAAACAAAGGGGTTAAGCACAGATCATCGGACCGTGCTACAAAATAAAAGTACAAAAAATAGGAGCCCTACTTCGGCTATGTGGATGCTACAGGTTCTAGCTCGGTTTCTGCAAGGTGATTTGTAGCTCGGTTTGAGCAGGGCTTTGCTAGTTCGGGCTCGGCAAGCGTCTAGATATCTCGGTTAAGGAAACGGTTCTGTTTGACCGGTTGATCGTCTAGGGGCAGCTTTCTGAGTTCCATCTAAAAAACTGAGAAAGCTGGTTTAGCCTCAAAGGCCTAGATTGGTTGGAGTTCAGGTATCTCATTATGCTAAGAGCAAACCTAGTTCGGTGGGTTACCTCGGCTAAGATCTATCAAGAAGTGGTTTGACTAATTCAAAGCTACTGGTGTAAACATGAAGTATTAGTCCGGTTGTAAGCTGACTCGACTTTTACCTAGCTTAAACAGTATCCTAGTTCGGTTGCATCATGATTTTGGATCAAAAACCTGTTTTCTACAGGATATTTCATATACTCATGCGTTCTACTGTTAAGTTTTTTCCATAGAAGTACAAAGCAAAGCAAAACGGAAAAACGTGTTTGCAAAAAACACAGAAAACAAAACGCATAGAACAAATACGAAAACAAACAGAGCAAGTAAGATGTACAATACTAACCAGATGAGGAAACAGGAGCTGAAGATGGAAGCAAAAACCAGCAGTTCACAAACTCTTTCAAAAAGACGAAGAATAATGAAGAACACGAACCCAGAAGATTGAAGAAGTAGTAGAGGCACAGAGAGGGAGAAGTTGCAAAATATGGCAAAAATGAAGAGGCTCGTTTTTAGGTAAAGGAAAAAAGGCGGGACTATTCAAATTTTACAAAGTACGAAGACGGCGTCACAGCCGTCCTCAGTCAATCAGAGCGTGCCACGTGTCCTGGGAAAGAGAAACGATTCAGTCGCCTGTGATTGAAGAGACGTTTTGACCGGACAAGCAGAGCCCGGTGTAAAATTAGCTCGGCTGAAAGGCTTAAAAGTTTTAGCTCGGCTGGAAAGGCTAAAGGGTTCTTTAGCTCGGCTGCAAAGGCTTAAAAACTTCAGCTTGGCTGACAGACAGGTAATCCCAATCATGCTGTGCAGATGGAATTAAGGGGCAATTGAGAGGGTAATTTTGGTGAAAATTGGCCCGAGCTATGAGATGGGCATTATGGCCCAAAGTACGAAGGGCTGGGTGAAAAGGCCGTAAAATTACTCCGGCCCAAGAGAGGTAAAAGATTACTCCGGCCCGAGAGGAATGTAAAGTTACTCCGGTCCGGAAGCGACTTAGAGTTAGGTCGGTCTCAGAATTAGTCCGGTCATGGCGTATTGTGGTTAGAACGGTCAGAACCTTGCTGCTCGGTAGCTCGGTCTAAACATACCATGGTTTGTACATGAGAGAACCGAGATAAAAAGAAGAAGGAAGAACCGAACTAAGGATAGTACGGCTTACTCTGTGGCTCAGCATAGCCATGATTACTTCGGTCATGTGGGAATCCGGCCATGGTAATAACCATCTCGCTTGGTTTAAGCAGTGAGGGGGGTGTTAGAGGATAAGGATTATCCTTTAGGAGGTTAAATCCTAGGAGGACTCTGCATGGAGGAGTAGAAGTCCTACTAGGATTGTGCCACACGAAACCTATAAAAGCTCACAAATATCACATTTGGAGAGGTAACACACAACTTTGCTTTCTGAATACACAGAGTTTTGTCTATTTGTCAAGCTTACTGTTCAAAACTTAATGAGCTAAAAAAATTATAAATTCATACTTACGTATAAAACTAAAGTTACAATTGAAATTTCGATTATATAATTATATATACAATATATATGAACATATTAAAAAAATCAATATCTTACCATAATAATAAAATCTACTACTAATATTATATAAATATATTATCTATAGTTAGTTATTATTTACATTTATATTATTTTAAAATAACATATTTATCGTATTTTTATATTATTTAATATATAAAAAATATATTTATTAGCCAGCTAACGAGGGGGGTGTTGGAGGATAAGGATTATCCTTTGGGAGTATGAATCCTAGGAGGACTCTGCATGGAGGAGTAGAAGTCCTACTAGGATTGTGCCACACGAAACCTATAAAAGCTCACAAACATCACCTTTGGAGAGGTAACACACAACTTTGCTTTCTGAATACACAGAGTTTTGTCTAATTGTCAAGCTTACTGACTTAGGCATCAGAGAGGTTTCCGGCGCACACCCGCCGGCTAGCTAACGTTTGTGTTTTCAGGTGATAAAGCGACGACGTACGGAGGAGAGTGGACGGTCAACAGGATTATATGAGAAGGTTTATTTCTTTCCCGTACAAGTGGAATGAAAATGCTTTTGAGTGTGGTAATCAATACTTTCCAAGTCCAAAGAAAAGGTTTATTAAAGAGGTTTAGAACTAGTTATGCATTGTAATACAGAAAGTTGAGTACTTCCCCAAAAAAAAAAAAAAAAAAAGTAACACAAAATGTTGAGTGGAAGACTGGAGATCAACTAAATTTGCACCTGAAGGGGCCTGAATAGGCAAGACCCTAGGTACTACTAGCCAATTAAAGATTTAATAATTCGATCAAATATGCTAGTCAATATCTATGAATCAATCCAAAAGGCAACCATACTAAAGAAGTCACCGATTTACATGGAAAGCCTTGGGAGCAATAATTTCCATAAAAATTATAATAATAAAAAAAAAACCATGTACCTTACCAGAATAAGAATCTGTTAATAATTTAGGGTTCATTACAGTAACAATTCCCGTTTTTCACACAATAAGTTCTAAAACTTGTTAAAGATTGAAAGTAAGTGAATTAGGTGTATTTTTTTTCCCGATTAAAAACACGTACTCTAAAACTAATGTGATATTCAACCAAACCTACTTTTTGTCTATGGAAATTTCCAATACAACAGTACATTTAACTAGGGTTGTTCAAGGGTCGGATCATATTGATTTTCTTGTCAACCGACCCAACCCGATTATGACGGGTTAAAAATGTAATCATGCAATTTTGACCGATGTGGTGTTCGAAATCAACCGTTCTAAAATTCATTGTGGTCAGATTTGGGCAGACTGCACTGTCACAAAAAATCACAAACACAAGAATAAAAAACCAAAATCTAAAACCCCACCCCCCCCAAAAAAAAAAAAACCGTTCTAAAATTCATTGTGGTCAGATTTGGGCAGACTGCACTGTCACAAAAAATCACAAACACAAGAATAAAAAACCAAAATCTAAAACCCCACCCCCCCCCCAAAAAAAAAAAAAAAAAAAAATAAAATAAAATTCATGGGAAGAACATCTCAGAACAAAAAATGAAAAGAAAAAGGGAAGGTGGTTTCCATAGAACAACAAAATTAGATTAAAGGGGAAAACTCTCCAGTAATCAAAATGGGTCATCGACTCAGTTATTCAGTGACTTCAATATGCCTTCATCAGTTTTGCAAGTGGTTTCTAGTTTGACATCAATCACTAGGAATCACCCTTCATCATTGACCCCATGGATGAGGTATAGTAATCGGAAAGATCGGAGTGGGGGAGTGTTTTGTGGGGGAGGGGGTTTCAAGGGTGATGGAGAGAGAATGTGAACACATGAGAGAGAGAGAGAGAAAGAGAGAGAGAAGGTTGTCAGGTGAGGATCTCTTAGAGATTATGTGTAATCTGGATGGCCAATAAAACAATGCCACATATTCTTGTAATAATCATCAGTCGGTTGGTTGGGGTGTGTATCAATCCGATACCCGCCCAAAAAACCGAAATTTTGTATTCCTACCCGCAGCCGACCATTCCATGCCATTGAGCCGACCGTTCCGTTAATTTTCGGATCGGATTGGTCGGGCTGGGCAAGTGATTTGAGTTTTTGTACAGCCCTACATTTGACATTGAATAAGTTAGAGACAGACATGTTAACTAGTCAAGCCCTGAATGAGGATTTCAACATACATGAATGGCAGTACAAGTGGTGCTATAATGGGAAATTAGAAATGGGTGATTTTAAAGATGAAATAAGAGGAGTTTAGCTAATATGATTTCTCATGTTGTATCTAGACTAATCAATGCTCCAAGTGATTTGATTAGTTGAAGTTGTCAAAAAGATTGGTAGAAGGCCATGGAGAGACTTGAACGCAACCTGAATAATGTGTCTCACAGTGAAAATGATTAGACAATTGAAAACTTTCAAGTCAAACAAATCTCTTAAAGACTCTTACAAGATAAATCATTTTTATATTTTTATTTAGCAAATGGAGTCTAAAATTGAAGACTTGAAGGTTCCAGCTTTATGTTTTGAACCTGGGTACTGTAAGCACATGAAATGTCTTAATCCGAGGATAAAGACAGAGTTGTTAGTTTATACGTATTTATCTCCCTACACTGTCATCTATAAATCCATAGTGCTTACAATTTCATATTACATGGATTTTTTGGTCAGTACTTAATCCTATGGATTGTTCGTATCCTTTCCATTTGTCATTGTGTGATGTAAAATTGATATGAGAATAGTATTTAAAATAATTATTGATGACATTAGAATACTAGTGTTTGGAAATTGGAAGACTATATGAAGGTGGGAGTTCTTTTTTAAGAGTGAGATGGGAGGTTTGTAAAGTTGTGTTTAGAGACTGATCATTAAAAAATGACGTGTTTATGTTTTCTCTCATTAAGTGATTTTGATTAAGTGGGTGAAGTAGGTGGAGAGTGGGTGAAGTAGTGGGTTAGGTTTAGTGGAGTAGGTGAGGTGATAGTGGTGTAGGTGAAGGTAAATTCTAACACTCTCATTAAGTGATTTTGAAACTTATAAAAATAATTATTATCAATTGAAATATTATTCTAAATCTGAAATGAGATAGGCTTGCACAAAATGGACCAATATAAAGTTCTGCTATGGTCGTTGTCTAGACTCAATGGCTGAGTGAGAGGATGATTGAATGTCATAGTTACGTGAGTATGAAATAAGAGTGAGATTTAGAGCATGGGAGTGGTAACTAAACGATATCTTTTAGTTTCATAGATTCTACACACGTGCACGCATATATATATTACTTTGTTTATGTTTTGTGTTTTTATTGCATGCATTTAGTTAAGGTATCTATTTCTGTCAAAAAATGTTCGATAAATAAATCGTTATGTACCTAATGGTTAACAATTATTCAGATTTCATATCCTAATTTGAATAACCATCATAACAATGTTACACAAAAGTTGAACCTTATAATATAAGGCATATTTAAACATTCCACGTGAATAATATCCTCCATTTTGCTTCAACATGTATAGAAACTTATCCTAATAATTTCTTTTATTGCATTTGAAACATTTCATAGGCCGCTAGTATGGAGATCTTGATTATAATATCTGTTTCTTTCTTCTTGTTTGTCTAGTGTAAGAATTTTGTTGTATGTTGTGGATTTCATTTCTGCTATCTATTATTGTTATGGCCCCATCTTCCTTCGATGCTCAATTTTAGAGAATGGCAATGTGACTTAAGTTCTTCGGAAAACCAAGATTGAAGGGATGGCACATCCAGATGTGCTCTCACAGTAGCTCACTAATTGGCATTTGATAAAGTTGCTATTTCAAGATTGTTTGGTCGTTGAGCAATTATTTCTCACTTCCTTGAGGTGTCCTCCTTCATTTGAGAAAAAATAGAATGTAGTTCTTGTGTCTTCCATATTTTTTATTGAAAAAATAAAATAAAAATAGAGCTGTAGAGAAATAGGGCTTTAGAAAGAAACATTTTCCAGCCAAAAAAGTACATAATTTGAGTACTTAATGCCATATGCTTGGGTTTAATCTATTTATTGCACTACCAAACAAAAGGGTACACTGGGATTGAAAATCTAGCAGACATTTCAGAATTACTGTAGATTTAAAATTTGTTTCTGCAATTGCTGTATCAAGATCATGATATTGTCTGTAGAAGTTGCGCATGACTGCATTCAAACAGTCAAATTTGAATTAAATCTTATCATGCATCTTTTTTTTTTCCCCACGAATATGAAGACGTGTTCAGTACGCTGCATTAAGCTTCTGATGCGTGGTAATTTATTTCAAGGAAAATTGCTAATTATTTGTTCAGTCCTTGTCCTTCATTTAAAATTGCTTGCAAATTTGCAGCTCTCAGAATGCAGTTCTTCAGGATGGAGGCTGGACAGGTCTCACTAGTAGAACAATAATAGACAAATCAAGTGGCAGTGGATACACAGAGTGGTTTCTTTCAAAAGATCAACTCCAAGTGGGGGACATGGTACGGTCCAGGAAGCCATCTAACTCATGCAAACATGAAAACATGGATGTTCCAGAAGGGACTATAGTTGGTTTAGAACGTGACGCAGATCAAAATGGGTTTGTTTTAGTTCGGGTCCATGGGATCCACGACCCAATAAGAGTTCATGGATCTACATTGAAGCGGGTCACATTTGGTTTGGCAGCAGGGGATTGGGTACGTTTGAAGGAGGAAGACAAGAAGCACTCACCGGTGAGTATTCTTCATTCGATCCATCGCGATGGAAGTGTTGCTGTTGGGTTTATAGGAGGGGAGACCCTTTGGAAGGGTACTTACTCAGAGCTCCAGATGGCAGAATCGTATTGTGTGGGCCAGTTCGTGAGGCTGAAATCGAATGTTTTTAGCCCTAGATTTGAATGGCCTCGAAAAGGAGGTGGTGAATGGGCCACTGGAAGGGTTTGTCAGATCTTACCAAATGGGTGCCTTGTTGTCAGGTTCCCAGGAAGATTGACATTTGGAGATGAAACCAGCAGCTTCCTGGGTGAATGGAAGTTGTTTCTTTTAATACTTGTCCAGATATGATTAAGAAGTATCAACATCTTGAAGATTTTCACTGGGCTGTGAGGCCTCTTTTGATTGCATTGGGTCTATTCACTGCCATGAAACTCGGACTTTTTGTTGGGAAGAAAATGGGAAGGTCAAAGGTGAGGAAGCGAAACAAGGTTGTGATGCTAACTGACAGTCAACACATGGATGGACAGAGTGTTGGCAATGCGGCATGGCTTCCTCCAAAAGTAGCAAACATTTTTAGAGAAGGGGTCAGTGCAACTACCACTCGGTAATCATCAAGCATCTGCCAAAAGCTTTCCACTGAGATTTGTTGACCTAACTTGGAATTCGATGAAGCTATATTTCGGATCTGGTAAGAACTGAAACTCTCTGCAAAGTAATCTCATATGTAAATAGATGGATGATTGTTTGTTTAATTACTGCTCTAAGGTGTATATACGTTTAATCAGTGACTTTTGCTGTAAAGATGTTTATTTGCTATGTCTTATGTCTTTTTTTTATTACAATCAAAGAAATCTTAAGTTGATACTTGACAGAATTGTGTATGAGAATGGGTTTTGTTTCTGGCAGATTAAACTTTCCTTGTTTAGACTGGAAAACGTTTTCTTTTTTGGCATTTTCTTACGTTGTGTTTAGTTGGGGGATTTGGAAAGAGAAAGAAGAAAAGGTAGGTGTAATGAAAATAAGATATATCTACATTTCATTTAATCTTATACTTTTTGTTCTTTCTATTTTCAAATTCCTTTTCAAATTTCTCAACCAAACACAGTATTAGTGTTTGGCATGATAGAAAACGTTTCATTGAGTTGATTTGGGTGAAAACAACCACATGAGACATCAAAGTTTTAACGGCACCATTGTTATCACCACCCTATTGCCACTACCTACACACCACCTCTATCACTTGTAGGTAGGCCTGTATTCTCACAACCATAATTTGTTTTTGTTTTTTTTGTTTTTTTTTTGTTTTTAAATGTTCTTGAAAACAACCATAACGAAATCTGAAGTCTCCGTTGTACTCACCGTAGCCCATTAAACTATTAAGCCTGTCCACTTTGCAAACGTGAACTCCTCTAAACCAACTTAACCTCAAGTTTGGGCTTTAGCTTGAACTTCTCAACTCAAGCTTGTATTGGATCAGACCACAACATATAAGGACTAATTACTACCATGTCTTATTCAACGTACTTATTTACTCATAACTTTTGAGTGAGCGTTTTTTTTTTTTTTTTTAAACTTTAGAATGAGAAAATTTTAGGACTTACATATATGTTTTGTGGTTGTGATATGATCATTTGGTACTGGTAATAATATTAAAAAAAATTGTCAAAATAATGAATGATTGAGACATCTTTATATCGTCTTTATTGTGTAATTGTTTTGAACTTGCTACTCCAATAAATATTATGAATCATATAAGATAAAATTTTGCACTTTTTCAATTTTTTCCTTCAACAAGATAGTAAGGAGAGTTGAGTCTCTAATATCAAAACTAATGAAGCAGTTGTCACATGGCTAGCCAATCGTTAGTAAAAAGTTAAGATTTTGAATCGTATTTTTTGTATATATTTATTTGATATTTCTCTCTTTTCATCATAAATTATATTGAATAAAAATAATTATGTTTATATATATAGTTTTATATTAATATGGGTCAATATAATATATAAATAATATATGTTGCATATATATTCATGTAGTGTTGTAGTGGCATAGTAAAGAGAGTGTGTTGCTAAAAGTTTAGAATGTGAAAGGTTGGTGGTTCGAATTTCAAAAAAAGTTAGTAATTTTTTTTTTCATAGAACAACCTTTGGTGACTAAACAGTTTAGTCGGCGTTTCATTGACCATTGGCGACTAAAAGATTGGTCGCTAAATGTATAATTTTAAAAAGTATAATTGACTATTGGTGACCAAAACTTTGGTCGCTAAAGACCTGTTTTTTGCCAACAAAAAATTTTTTAGTCGCCAATACCTCCGGCCACCATGTCTTCGCAACAAAACCGGCGACTAAAAAATTTAGTCGGAGAAACTAAAAAGTGGACTTTTGGTGACTAAAAAGGGACTTTTGGCCAACAATTAAATGTCTAGACAATGTCCCCAAACAAGTCTCTATCACCCCATTATATTATTAGGAAAATACTATAGGTTCTAAATTTTCTATCAAATAAATGATCAAATGTCTTACATAAATATGGAGTCCACAAAATTGCGGATCTCACACCCATATGAGACATATGGTTATTTGTCTGGTAGAAAATTTGATATCCATAACATTACTCATATTATTATATGAACAAAGACAGCTGCTAAACAATCATATTAATCTTTCTTTAAGAGGATTATATTGGCAAAGACAAAAAGAATTAATGCTAACCTTGTCACCACTTATGATTAGGCTACATTATCACATTTATACCTATGTGACTTAATCAAATTGAATCTATTATTATAGTTTATATTTAGTGGAAAAAGTAAAATATTAATTTAGTGAAAGCACTCCTAACGAATCTATTATTAGTATGGCATGGGCCATCATAAACTATACATTTATAGTTGAGATTGGGTGTAATTGATAATTATATGTGATATCTTTGTTTAATTATATATGATACTTTAAACAAAGATAAAGCTTCCTGATAACTTTGGATTATAATAGAGAGATGGTGATGATGTACACCGAAAAATTATTGCACAGCAATAAAGTATATCACACGAAGGCATTTGAAAAATTCAGAACAATGTCCCTAACTTTCATAATTAAAACAATTTTGATAAAGAATTCTTTTTTCATTATCTTGATTTAGAGAATGAAATAATTATAAATGTAATGGTAATGCCCTTTATATATATATATATATATAGTGAGAGAGCTTGATTTGCTCTCTTTTTTATTTAACTAACGTAAGATAACTGGTATAGTGATCTTTTATATATATAATTTAGGAAATTTATGTGTTGGTCTTAATAGGTAGACTTATTATTTAATAGGTTTTGTAATAATTAATATAATCATTACATTCTTCTCTCACAAAAAAAGTCAAAAAAACCAAAAAGCCAAAAAGCCCTTCCCAAACCAAGCTTTTTAGCCCAGGCTAAAATAGCCAAAAAAGCCAAAAAGCCAAAAAGCCAACTTACTTCCCAAACCAAGCCATAGTGATCTTTTATATATATAATTTAGGAAATTTATGTGTTGGTCTTAATAGGTAGACTAGTGATCTTTTATATATATAATTTAGGAAATTTATGTGTTGGTCTTAATAGGTAGACTTATTATTTAATAGGTTTTGTAATAATTAATGGCATTTTTCATTAAATTAATTTTCAGCGACAGTTTAAAAATTTTATCACAAAAAATATCACTAATTATAAGTTTTAATGACAATTTAAAAAATTATCATAAAAAAATGTCACTAATTTTTAACTTTCAATGATAGTTTAAAAAATGTCACTAATTGTAAATTTTAGCGACAATTTATAAAATTGGGTCAAAAAAATTACTAATTGTCAATTTTTAGCAACATATGTAAAAAAAATATCACAAAAAATTATTTTTAATTACGATTTTATTATGATTTATTTTCAATAGGACTTGATGAAAATTAAGTGCAATTATTAAGACTTATTGGTAATTTACTCAAGAATTTAAGATTTACATAGTGATTTTTTTATCACTTTTTCAATATTTGAAAGTTATTTTTCTATAAAAAAATTTAGGGTTAATTGCACTAATAGTCCTTATAGTTTAAGACTTGTGTCACTTTGATCCCTGACTTTTCAATTGTGACACATTTGACCATGAACTTTGAATCTTGTTCCAAATAAGGACAATTAAAAATTTTATTAGATTTTTCAAGGGTAAAATCGTCAATTTAATAAAATATAAACTAATTTGACAAAAATAAATGTCAAAAAAATATTTTTAATTTTTTTTTAAATTATTTTTATCCACCAATGATAAAATTATGTAAAATTAATAAAAATTACATGATTAATTTTTTAAAATAAATTTAACATGATCATCATCCAAATACATAATAAAAATTAATTTGGAAAAAAAAATAAATAATGTCTAAAAGATTTATCAATTTTACATAATTTTAAGTAGGTAGAAAATAATTTTTAAAAATTCAAAAAATATTTGTTTGAACATTTATTTTTGTCAAATTAGTTTATATTTATCAAACGGGTTTCGCTACGTTTGAAAAATCTAATTATATATTCAATTGTCTTTATTTGGAACAAGATTCAAAATTCAGGGTCAAATGTGTCACAATTGAAAAGTCAGGGATCAAAGTGACACAAGCCCCAAACTATAGGGACTATTTGTGTAATTTGCCCATTTTTTTTTATGTAAATACACATCATATAGTAATAATGAATATATAATAAGTAAGACAGGAAAGTCTAGGAAAATAGACTTATCAACCCAAAATTTTTTGGATAAGTGATTGCGTGATGGAGATTAATTTGTGTATTGTAAGACCTATGTCAGGTCTATATAAGGTGTGAAATAGATCAACTTCTAAGTAATTTATGAGTTGATAAGGATGAATTTGTTATATTACTCTATGTAAGACTGCTTCTATTCAGGGCCGGCCCTGAGTTCGTCGGGGCCTAAGGCGAATTTTGAAAATTGGGGCCCTTTTATATTGAAAAAAAATTCATGAATAAAAACGATAAGTTACAATTTTTTTATTTGTTTGTAACCATAAAAAAATTACTTACACATATAATCATTAAAATTATAAATAAAACAATTTAATAAAACAAAATTAGAACAAAAAAATTATTCAATTAAAATCGATAAAGACCTAGGTAAAAAAATTTGAGCAAAATTATTTATTCCACTAAAATCTAATAGATAAAGAAGGTAAAAATAAAAAATAAAAAAAATAGGGCCCATATATTGTATGTATTATTTTTCTTGAGCCCAAACACTTTTTTTTAAACATATATTTTCATTTTAATAAATATGGACCAAACTACACTTATAAATAAATATGGAGTAAATCATACATGGACCCAAAAAAATATTTTGGGGCCCTTTAAATTGATCCTAAAACCAAAAAAAAAAACATTGAGCCTATAATATTTTACCAAATTTAGGGGCCCTATTTTTTGGCCAAATTTAGGGGCCCTATGTTATATATATTTATATGTTTTACCAAATTTAAGGGCCCTATTGTTATTTATTTATTTATTTATATATTTTCATTTTAATAAATATGGGTCAAACACATTTATAAATAAATATAGGCTAAATTATACATGTGTCCAATAAAACATTTGGGGCCCTTTAAATTGATCTTAAAACCAAAAAAAAAAAAGTTAAACCTATAACAATTTTTTAAATTTAGAGTCTTATTTTTAGGCCAAAATATGAAGCCTAAGGCACAAGCCATACCTGCCTTAGGGCAGGACCGGCCCTGCTTCTATTCCTGTCCTTTGGACAAATACTTAAGTTGTCTATTCTTGAAAAAAAATTCATTGCAATTGCATTACATACTACATCAACGTTAACACGTGATATCATTATTTAATTATAATTTACCATAGCATGATATACCT